TAAATATTAAAATATTTTCCTTTACTAAATAATTGACTTTAGGATTTATTTAAAGTGCCATTTTTATCTTCAAAATAGGATTAATGCTACAAACATTCCATTCCATGTCATTTGTATGCCCAGTTCCTAGAAAGTATCATTGAAAACATTTGTTTTAACCAATATGATTTATAAACAATATAGTATTTAAACTTTAAATTTTTAAATGGATTAATGAACAGGTTTATAGAACACAATCCCTAGCAAGAAATGATAGCATGTGAGGAGCCTCAAAATAGGCTGAAATTGACAATATAATCTGAAAATATGTACGGAGTAAACAAAGTGAACCCAGGTAAACAGTGCAAGAGTTTTATTCATTCTTTCATCATAGTCTTTGAAATTTTCTCACTTTTTGAAGCAAATAAAACTTTCTGGACCATGTCCTTGAAAGCTTGTTTCACTTGCTGATTTCTTAGAGTGTAAATGAAGGGGTTCAATAAAGAGGCAACTGAGGTATTGAGCACAGCTACTCCTTTGCTTAAAGTTATTCTATCATTTGCTGATGGTTTTATATACATGAAGATGCAGCTGCCGTAAGAGATGGAAACCACAATCATGTGGGAAGAACAGGTAGAAAAGGCTTTTGTCCTTTGCTGAGCAGAAGGGAATTTGAGAATTGTCTTGATGATGTAGCTGTAAGAGAGAATTACTAACAGCAATGTGACCATTAATGTCACTACAGCCAAGAAAAAAGACATTACTTCTAGGAAATGTGTATCTGAGCAAGAGATCTGCAGGATGGGAGAAGAATCACAAATAAAATGATCAAAGATATTGGAAGCACAGAATTCCAATTTGAGTCCTAAGATGACTGGGGGAAAGATAATCAGGAATCCAGTTACCCACGAGCTCAATACCAATTGGTAACAGACTCTGTTATTCATGATGGTGGTATAATGCAGGGGTTTACAGATAGCCACATAGTGGTCATAGGACATGGCAGCCAGAAGGTAAAATTCAGTTACCCCCAAAAAGATGAAAAAAAATAACTGAGTCATACAACCCATATAGGAAATAGTTTTGTCTTTTGTCACAAGGCTCACCAGGAATCTTGGGATACAAACACTTGTAAATGAGATTTCTAAAAAAGAGAAATTTCATAGGAAAAAATACATTGGTGTCTTAAGGTGGGGATCCAGCAGAGTGAGAATGATGATAGTTAAGTTCCCCGTCACACTCAACATGTATGTCAAAAGTAGAAAGAGGAAAACTACAACCTGTAACTCAGGGTCATCGGTCAGACCTAAAAGAATGAATTCTGTCTGCATTGAATGGTTCTTCATATCTCTGTTATGCATTTTATCAAAGCTAGATAAAAAAGAGTGAAGAAACAGTAACTGAAAAGATTAATTATTAGAGTAAATAATAAAGTACAAAGCAGACAAAGAAGCTACCACTGATCAACAACAATGTTCTAGATGTTATGCTTTGAGGATTTTCCTATTACTATTTCCAACAACCTCTTACATTTAAGATGGCAACTGCCATAGTTAATAATTCTCAAGAAGAAGAAAAGAACTTTAAGAACATATGTAATTATAAATAACAGGGAAAAATCTGTGAATTCAAAAACACATAGACTTTGAGAAACACATTTTAAATAGGTGTCAACTCAGTTACATCATTTGTAAGACTTATATCAAAACCAAAATAAAAAAAACCCACTGACATTGAGTCATTTATGACTCATATCAACCTTATAGAACAGAGTACAATTATCACAGAGGGTTTCCACAACTATAAATCTTTATGGAAGCAAACTGTCTCATTGTTCTCCCTCAGATTGGCCAGTGGGTTTGAAATACTGAGCTTTTGGTTAGCAACCCAATACTTTAATCACTAATTTTCACTTCCTGGGGATGTTTTGTTAGCCAGCTTGTAGACTGGCTGTAATATTCCATTTGGAGTTTTTCATGAACATGATCCCTAAGAAACACAAGAACCAAACAGTTAGAAAATTTTATTTTCTCTTCTTTAGAATTATCTCTGTCTGCAAATCTGGTACTGCTTGTGATGACCCTCTCTGATTTTATATTCTCTTCTTCAAGTATCTTTTAAAATCCACTATATAGTAAAATTTCTACTTTTTTGTGTTCAATTCATTTTTCTCAGTTCATACTTCAAAATTCATGCTTGCCCAGGACAATTATGCATTTCTTCCTTGTATAATTTGCTCCTGGTTTAATTAAATATGTATATAATTAAGTCCTTGGAATTTGTCTGAACATCACAGTAATTTCAAGAATTAAGTGAGAAAAAATTACGGTAATGATATATTTGTTCCTAAAGTAGCTTCACCTTTCATTGGTCACTCAATGAAAATGATGTACTCTTGTTCACATCTTTGTTTTAAAGTCAAGCCTTCAAAACTTCTATTTTTTTCCTTTATTGATAAAAGAAAAAATCTCTAGAAAGCTATAATCAGCCAAAAAATAAACAAACACAAAAAGCTAACCATTATGAGGCAAATAGAGTGAAGATTTCTCTATTTCTTGACACAAGTTCTTCATTCCTTTTTGTCCTGAATTATCCATTTTTGTACTCAGTTTTTACAACTAATCAAATAAAATCAATATACAGTTTTAGGTGCATTTTATGAATGTGTACCCTTATATTCCATATTTCTATTCTATAAAATAATTTAAAGCAATCACCAAAAATAATCAAACCACTGGTACACATCTGCCTTTGATTTCCATAGAAATTATCTTAGTTAACAACTTTTTCTAAATAATCAAACTCTAAAGTACTTACCTTAGTTTACCTAGTACTTACCTTGGAAGAATTATAGCATTACTGTAATTGTTTTCTTACTTAATTCATGTATTTTCATGGATTTCTTTCTGGAATCAAAAAGTAGGAAAAACTGAGGAATTATGAATCTACTCACAACTCAAATATTATTTTAGTGAGAAACTAAAAAAAAAAAAGTCTTTAGGTTGTGACTTTGGTGCAAAAAAGTGAAGAACATCTGTGTTTCTGTAAATTATCTGCCTCCCACCTCTGACTCATGTATGAACATTTGAACCACTGCTTAGAACTTAGTTAGTACAAAAAAAAAGGATATTTTATTTCTATCCCAGAAAGGATAAGATACATTCTCTAGCATTTTCTCCAACCAAATAGTATCATATGTATTATTCACACAAGTGAATATGTCCTCATATACTTTACAATTGGGAATGAACATGGAAAACATCAGGAATACCTGATAGAACATGTGATACTTCCAAACAGGGAGATATTTTACTGTTACTTTTACATTTTACAACAGCAAGCATTGATTTATCATTTTATTAATTACATACTCAAGGGACTATATTGAAAAAGAAAAAGAAAACTTTCCCATGGGGTTCATAATCACAGGGCACTAATGATGTACAATAAACCAACTTGTAGAGTATGTTTTAATAGAATGTGAAAGGTCAGTATACAGAAAGAGAGTTGAGATTATTAAAAATCTAAAAGAGTAAACGGCTAACAGGTTATGATCACATTTATTTGATTATTCAAGAATTACCTTTAATATTTAATATTAAGAACAAAATCTATGATTCAGCAAATCCTTAAAGAGATGGTTGAAAAGTTACTTTTTTACCTTTGACATGGCATGCTCCAAGCTAATTAACATGAGGGCAGATTTCCTCAATATACAAAGTCAAACACAAAGGAATCAGTACATCAACAACCAAAAGAAACATCATTAAATGGAAAAAAATGTAAAGTAAAAGATGCTTTGAAAGTTGTGGTCACAAAGTATAAAATACAGGACTCTGGTAGCAGCATAGGAAATCAAAGGAGGATGACAGTTACATAGTAATTTTAAGATATTTCTGACAAATATAAAAAGCTCTGCTGAGACAGTGGTTAAAGCATTTGGCTGTTAACCAAAAGATCAGCAGTTTGAATCCACCAGATACATGGGAATAAATCTGACCAGGTGTAGTAGTTAAGGTTTTGTGTAAACTTGGCTGGGCCTGGTTTTGAGTGGCTGGGCAGCTGGATATAATTATTCCCCATGATGAAATTGGTAATCAACTCCATGTTGGAATCTACTGGACCAGCTGAGTAGCTGCTATAAAGATGTGATCTGCTTCCAGTACATAAGAAAAAGCTTTGAGAAAGGTCTCTGCCTCTTTTTGGCACACTTGGACCCTGTATGTTGCTGAGTCTTCATTCAGCAGCCTACCATGTTTTCTGCTGATGTTGGACTGTCTCTGGACTTGAACTAGTGGCCTGCCATGTTGTTTGGAAATCTTGGGACTGTGCCATTTTGTTTGTTGACCTTGGGTTTGTCAGCCTCAGAAGGCAGCAGCTGCCTGAGTTAACAGAAGTCTCCAGCTTCAGTGGACCATAAACAAGAGGCAGAGCTGAAGCCTAAAGTTG